CTAAAAAAAAAAAAAATGTAAAAAGAAAAAAAAATCTTAACAAAAAAGAAAATAAAAAAATACTTAGTTAAAGCAAAAGCCCAAAAAAATAAATATATATATAACCCAACTAAAACAAAACTCATCAAACTAAAATCCTTAGTCTATTTAATTTACGCTAAAAAACCATTTCAATCTTTGTTTTAACATTTGTACTTTTTTTTTTTAACTATTTAATATGTTTCAAAAGATATTCAAAACATTTCTCATAAAAGATTAATAATATAAATAAATAAAAAAAACAGTTTAATTAAAAAACAATTTAAAAATTAATTAGAAGTGTTTTGTTACTTCATTGAAAAGTGTTTCGATAATATAAAATTAAGATTTTTTTTTAAACTTATTTAATTGCAACGGCTTTCTAAAACTTTTTTTTTTTCAACAAAATTTTGTTTATCTTTTTAAATGTATTAACTTTCGTTAAAGAGACTTTCGTAGTCGTAGAATCTCATTGTTTAAAAAAAAAATTTATTTTTTAATAACGTTTATTATAGAGAAATAAGTAATGCACACTTTAACAATTTATATATTATTAATTGAAAAAGTTTTTACATATATAGGTTTTATTTTCAAATATAGTTTTTACATATATTTTTTATATATAGGTTTTGTTTTCAACTTGACCATGCAAAAAATGATATAGGGTCAATGTAACATTGTCATCAGAATTAACTGATTGTTATGTTAAATTCTTTGAGTTGATCAAGGCTTTTGCTCCAGTAAATGCTATCATCAATTCTACATCATTAACATTACCCAATTAGCTTTACCCAAATACCATATATATAAAAAGTTAGCCCATTTTTAAATTTTTTTTTTTTTTTATTTTTTTTTAATTTTAATTCACGTCCTCAAGGCCGAGAAGGCCACTACAGACGAGGAGGCTACTTATTTGTGGTTATAACCCTCTCTCAACTCTATAACTCCGAAACACGAACCTTGACGAGCAAGGCCGCTGCGCGGAGAAACGAGTTGAGCGCGGTACTACCAGGGACGTGGTGGGGATCGAACTCAGAACCACTCGTTTATGAAGCAAGCGCTCTAAATAGCATCTATTCTGCTAGAACCAAACTAGAATGGAACCGAAAATAAAAATGGACTAATAAAATAGTAGCAATTACTTGCTTAAATTAAAAGTTTTTAAAATTTTTAGTTATGGTAACTACAAATGTAGTAGTTATGGTGACATCATTTTTATTGGTTTGAGAGATATGACATGATGTTACTGATTTTGAACCATTTTTCTATTGATTCCTTAAAATTGATGGCCATACCATAAAGGTGATGGTCATTGTCAAAGTTGTTAATTGAAAGGGATCTCAAATTCCTCAACATTGTTAAAAAAAAGATTTCTTTTAGTTTTACTGTTAAATGATTTAGTTAAATGTTAACACTTAAACATTTATACAATAAATAAGTTTACAGACCATTTTTAGCATTTATTTAGCTTTTTTTGATTAAGGGTAACATCATGTGGTTTTTTTTATGGTAAGAACACTATTTTCTTTAATTACGTCATATCAGAAAATTGATCATCGTGATCAGCTTCCTACTGGTAACATGTAATTTAATCAGTCTCGTGACCTGTTGTCTTTAAGGATTTCTTGGATTTGATTTTCCAATTAAATACTAGAAGTTAACTCTGACTTAAAGTATTTTTGTCATGGAGCTATTTATTGAATAATGGCGTTTTAATAAAAAATACTTTTATGAAGCAGGTGTTAACTGCATCCAGCTACTGTCTTGTAGAAAAGCATCAGAAAATGTTTGTTGACGTCTTCTTTGGTTGGCACAGATGTAGACTTACAATGTTTCCTGTCTAGGATGATGAACACTAGACTTTTTTGACCCATAGGATGCAACTCTTACAGTTTCCCCTAATAAGAGTATAGATCTAAACCTCAGTTTATTGGTTCTGAAACCAGCTAGTAATAAGCTTTCCTAAACTTGAGGAAACTAACAAAGAGGTTGATTCCCTCAACAGCTGCATACTTTTTTTTTTGCTTTTTTATGCTTAATCACCTTTCTTTACTTTTCAACTTCTTTTTTTTTTTTAATCACCCTTAACGTTTATTAGCTTTTTTTATTATATTTTGTTTGTTCCTCTTCTTCTAAAAACTTTTGATGTCTTATGTCTCATTATCTCATTACTTATGTCTCATTATCTCATTACTTTCTCATTATCTTTCAACAAATATTGTTAACTGTTTATTGTTGGTGACTTTGACGCTTATCACACTTATTGACTTGGCTCAAGTAGTTTTTATGTAGTTTTCAAGCTAAAGTTGTTATGTAATTTTTAAGCAAAGCTAGTAGGAGAGTTGTTATGTAAGTTTTAAGTTAACCTATTAGGAGAGTTGTTATGTAATTTTTAAGATAAGTTAGTAGGAGAGTTGTTATGTAATTTTTAAGCTAAGTTAGTAGGAGAGTTGTTATGTAATTTTTAAGATAAGTTAGTAGGAGAGTTGTTATGTAATTTTTAAGCTAAGTTAGTAGGAGAGTTGTTATGTAATTTTTAAACAAAGCTAGTAGGAGAGTTGTTATGTAAGTTTTAAGCTAAGCTAGTAGAAGAGTTGTTATGTAAGTTTTAAGCAAAGCTAGTAGGAGAGTTGTTATGTAATTTTTAAGCAAAGCTAGTAGGAGAGTTGTTATGTAAGTTTTAAGCTAAGCTAGTAGGAGAGTTGTTATGTAATTTTTAAGCTAAGTTAGTAGGAGAGTTGTTATGTAATTTTTAAGCAAAGCTAGTAGGAGAGTTGTTATGTAAGTTTTAAGCAAAGCTAGTAGGAGAGTTGTTATGTAATTTTTAAGCATTTAAAAGTTTATTACATCATAACACTAAAAATTTCAAATAAATATAAAACTTCTACAAGTACAAAAAGCTACTGTATATATCAAAAAAATGTGATGTTGTGTTCAGCTTAATTAAAGCATAATATATGGTTATTATGCTTTGTTAAACAAAATAAATCTAAGCTGGAGGTTTTCTTTTTTTTTTACAGCTGTCAAAAAAATCTTGAAGACATTTGATTGCATGTTCTGGAAATTTCCAGTTTGATGGTTCCTGATTCCAAAACATTTTCAATGAGTTAAACACTTTTTCATGACTGTTGCTACATAGCTTGCAATAATCATCTGCAATAATCATCTGCATTGATCTATCAATAATCATCTGCATTAATGGTCCACCCATCTGTGAGATAAATCTACTAATGTCAAGTAGTTTCTCTTCTCTCTGGTAGAAAAATAAAATTTTTAATAGAAAAATAGAAAAATAAAAAATGCCAAAACAACTAGTATTGCTCAGGAATTCCATCTTGCATTATTTAATTTAGGTATTTTCTTAAACTTCACTTTAAGAAATATTCTCAATTATTTACCATATCAATTATTTACCATTCTTGAAAATCTTCCTAAGCTGTTGGTACTTTTTTTTAAGTTCCAGTATAAACAAATATTCAATATTAGGTGACATGTTGTTTCCTCCAAGTTCTTAATCCATTATTACACAAAGGACTTGGTCAAGAACATGATGTTAATAATCAATTAATTGTGGTTTTTCTAATTTCTTTATAATAAAATATCTTTATAACTAACTACCAATCCCATTCATTCTTCCAGTGTTTACATTCATAGTGTCCACTACAATTGTCTTTATACTTTTCCATAAATTATTTTCATCAAGAATAGCTGTTATGCCTTTAACAACAATATCACCTTTTCTGTCTGGTAGATCTAGTGCTTGTAACTTTTCTTTGTTTATGAATTTTCAGGCTCTTGATATTCTGCCTCAGACTTGGTTTCTTAAGTTGACAAGTTGCTGTTGCCATTACTGTTGTTGAAGTAGGCTTTAAGAACATTTTTCTTCTTTTGGGTGGTTGGATAGTTTTTGAACTAGCAGCCTTCCCAGAAGTATATCGGAGAGTTCCTTTGCTTTCAATCTGAAAATGAAAAACATCTTTTGTCCTCACTGCAGAGCCATTTACCATCTTTTTTTAGACATTGAAAATATGATTGAAAATACTTGAATATATTTAAGCAATAAACATAAGTGCTATTGTACTTCTATATTATTTGAATACCATCTGGTGAATACAGATTCATATATAAATATTAGCATTGCTCAATCAGGCAGCAAATGTCTAAATTTTACTTTATTTCCTTAAACTTCTAGGAGACTCCAAAAAATTCTAGAAAGTTTTAAAGGCTACTAAAATCATCTAGAACAGTCCAAAAAAATACTAGAAAGTTCCATAAGGTTCAAGAAAATTTTCGGCTTTAGAAAGTCATAATGCCACTTCCTGCAATTACTACTTATACACCATTTATATATATATAAATAATAGTAATTGTAAAAGTAATTTTTTGGTAAAAAGTGCTCAATACAAATGTGGAGCAATTATATAAGAAGACTAATTTAATATTACTATTGCATCTTTCCTATTGATTATTTTTCACGTAAGAATAGGGTTTGAAATCTCTTCTTGTGATTTCCTAGATATATTTAGAAAGATTATAAGATTAAAGAAAAGCTCTGTAGATAGCTATTTCAGTATGACTTCATGCAATGCAAGATGGAGCATATGAATGTATTTGTGTGTATATATTAGCAATATATACTCACAAATATGTTAGCATTTATATATTAGAATTATTTTATACATATACTGTTTGATTATATAACTTGGTGACTAGGGTATATGAGTTTTGGAATATGTATTGGTTTATTGAAAATAACTTGGTATGTTGAGTTTTATGACTAGGGGAATAATACTTTTCTGTCTTTAAATGACTACAAATATTGTTTTTTTTAATGTATTTTTGTAAACTTAATGTATGTTTACACTAAAAACATATAGTTGCCATAGATGTATAATTATTAACATAAATGTTTATAAATTTTATTTATATATCAGTTTTCAATAAAAATAAAAAAAATTTTTGACAGTAAATTTTTTATTTAGCACAATGTATCGTGCAATTGATACTGCTGTTGACATGAACAGAAAAGTTTATGCTGCAATTTATTTTGTGACGTTTATTGTTTTATTTACATTCATGATTATCAACATATACATTGCACTGATTATATTAACGTTTCAAAAACAAGGAGAAAAAGAGATACAAGCTGGTCTTGATAGGAACCAAGTAAAATTTTAACAAATGTGGAATTTCTTTATAGTTACTTCTTTAAACATAATGTTTATTTAATTTACAGCTTTTTTTATTGTAAGTTTTTCTTTCATATACTTAACCTAGATTTTAAATTTTATAGTGTGACTGTTTACATTTTGTCCTTAATGCAAAGCCTCGTCAGCGTTACAAACCAAAAGATGAAAACTCAATTTCTTTTCACATATGGATGATTGTGGAATCTCGCCCTTTCGACTACTTTATTATGTCTCTAATTATTCTAAACTGCTTACAGATGATGATGAAGGTTTTTCTTTAAATTTATATGAGTAGTAATGAGCTGCTGTTAACTTGATAATTTTTTTTTTCATCAAATTTTTTTTTCATTAAAGACCATCAGTTAATTATTGTACATAGTTTTTTTGTTTTGTGTAAATTGAGTTTTTTTTGGTTTTATGTACATTGAATTTTTTTTGGTTTTATGTACATTGAGCTTCAGATGTACTTCAGATTATATTTAGTTAAATTTAGGTAATAGATAAAGTTATAAAATTTTTTAACATAAGCATATTATTACATAAGCATATTATTATAAGGCATATTATTATAAGGCCATAACATAAGCATATTATTATAAGGCCATTGCTCTTGACATTTCTAAAGCGTTTGATAAAGTTTGGCATGCTGGTCTCCTCCATAAGCTTTCTTCTTATGGTGTATCTGGAAACATCTTTAAGATTATTGAATCCTTCCTTTCCAATCGTCCAACTCTTTTTCTTTCCAACTCTTTTCCAATTCCAATTCCAACTCTTCTTCTTATTCTGTAACCTAAGGGGTTCCCCAAGGTTCAATCCTTGGCCCTATATTCTTTTTAATTTACATTAACAATCTTCCAGATATTCTCACATCTAAGGTGGCATTGTTGGCTGATGATACTACCATTTATTCTTGTCACGATAAGAAGCCAACTCTCTCTGATTGCTTGCAGAGGGCATCTGAGCTTGAAAAGGATCTCACTTCTGCTACAGCATGGGGCTTGCAGTGGCTGGTGAACTTTAATTCAGATAAAACTCAATTTTTTTCGGCCAATCGTTATCGCAATAATTTAGACCTTCCTATATTTATGAACGGTAATGTACATGATGAGTCTCCTACCCTTCATCTTCTAGGATTAACTCTTACTTCTGATCTTTCTTGGAAACCTTATATCAAATCAGTTGCAAAATTAGCATCTGCTAAAGTTGCTTCTCTTTATCGAGCTCGTCACTTTCTTACTTTGGATTCTATTCTCTATCTCTATAAATCTCAAATCCGGCCTTGTATGGAATACTGTTGCCATATCTGGGGCGGATCTTCTAATGATGCCCTTTCTCTTTTAGACAAGGTGCAAAAACGCATTGTAAACATAGTTGGACCTGCTCTTGCAGCCAACCTTCAACCTCTGTCACATCGTCGTAATGTTGCTTCTCTTTCTCTTTTCTACAAATACTATAATGGGCACTGCTCTAAAGAGCTAGCGTCTCTTGTGCCATCTACTAAAATTCATTCTCGTGTTACTCGTCATTCAATTAAGTCTCATCCTTTTTCTGTTACTGTTCCTAAGTGCTCCAAAAACTCTTATTCGTCTAGTTTTTTTCCTCGAACATCAGTTCTTTGGAATTCGCTTCCTTCATCCTGCTTTCCTGATTCATATAATTTGCAATATTTTAAGTCGTCTGTCAATCGTTATCTTGCTCTACAATCTTCATCTTTTCTCTTCCAGTAACTTCCAACACTAATTAGTGGTTGCTTGCAACCTTGTTGGAAGCAAAGATAATTAAAAATATATATATATATATATATATAAAATCTTTTTGTTTCAAAATTTCACAACTAATTGTAAATAAAAAAATTTGTATTTACAATTAATTGTGATTTAAAAATTAATTTTTTAAAAACCAATTAAATATTTGTTATTAAATAACCAATCCAACCATGTTAAATAACCATCCAACATTATGACCTAAGGTCTATATTATGTATGATCTGATCATCTTATAAGCTGTAGCTGCAGGTGGATTAGTGCTTAAGACTATAAATAAATTAATTATAAATTAAGACTATAAAATAAATCTGTAAGTCTGTAAAAAATAAGTAAGATGCTTAAAACAACACAATTAACAAAAATATTGCTAAACTTATTAGGATAACTCTTTAAATATTCTTTAATAATCTTTAGAGTTTGATATCAAGTGTTCTAGTGTTCTAGATCTAGTGTTCTAGATTTTTTTTTCAATTTGTTTGGGTTAAAACACTTTTACTATTTTAGATAATGTAAAATAGATAGATATTGTTGTTCTTTCAGAACAACAATATCTATTTATTTTACATTATCTAAAATAGTAATCTATCTATTTTACAATAAAAAAGATATCTTTTTTCTTTCAGATTTTCTTAGAGAATTTTTCTTTACAAAAAACTTTATATGTCAACACTAATGATCTTGGTAATACTTGTAAAAATGCAAATATCCACAAGTCATAGCATTTCCTCATTTCATTAGCATTTGGTGATTTATTCTATGACTTGGAGGACAACACTGTTGTCCTCCTAGTCATATAATAAATAAGTGGACATATGTCATATTGATATTGATATATGACAAAAGTCATTGAAACTGTTGAACAGTTATATAATTGTAGCCAACATTAACTTTTTCTTGGGTAAATTTTTATCAGTTTTCTTTTGTTTTAATAATTTTTGTCTTCCTTCTTGTCTTATTATATTTAACATCTATTATTGTTCAAGAGATGGGCTTCCTAAACATTATTATAAAAACTGATTTAATAATAAGTTTGTTTTATTGTTTTATGTTATAAAAATTTAGTTTTAAAATTTATTTTTACTTTTTGACACCTCGCATATACAGACGCATACATGGGTGCTGCAAAATTTGTTATAAATATTAAAAAATATTTTTTAATTTTTTAAAATGTAGTTTAATGGATCATCTCAACAATACAAAACGCTCATGTTTTCTTTAAATGTTGGTTTCTCCATCATGTTCTCTATAGAAGTTGCTTTAAAGGTTTTTGCATACAGATGGGTAATATTAAAGTTTTTATTTTGAAAAATAGTATTTGAAAGATAATTTAACATATTTTTTAAATTAAACAATTAAATTTTAACTAATTATTTAAAAGATATTTATTTATTTAGAATTATTTCAAAAACTTGTGGAATTTATTTGACTTATTTGTCATACTAGGAGGTTTTTTGGATATTATTTTGACATTGGTAAGATTAATGTTATTTATTTGTTTTTTTTAGCTAAAACTTTTATTCTCAACTTGTAGAGTATAGCCTGGTTTGTGATGGTTATAGAAATGTTACAACAATTGTTCAGATTTGTTTCTATTTTTGCAATTGTTTTATAAAATAACTGTTGATGTATAACAGATGTCAAATTATGTGAATTACGCAAAAGAATGTGTTATAATGTCATTTTAAAAACATAACTGTTATATAACTATTGTACAACATCTGATGAAAACCACCCTTAGTGATTAAATAAAGTTACAGAAACCAGCCTTGGTGATAATATTAAATGTAGTTACTATAAGATTAATTTTTGTTTTTTTACCATTAAAACAAAAGCTACCATAAGATTAAAAGTTTTTTTATGGTAAGTTTTTACTAAAAATTACAAAATTGCTCATACCATAGAGATCAGATCATGATTGTGTTTAGTAGACACAAATGAACACATTTAAGTTGAAACATATTTTATGAACATCTTTAATTTTTATTTGATTTTTATTTGATTTGAATTTTTTTGATTAATTTTACTAGAAAAAGACAAAGTTGTTGGATCCAAGTATGTTTCGCTTATTTAGAGCTCTTCGTGCTATAAAGCTTCTTCGAAAAGGAACTAACATTCGTATCATGCTATGGACATTTCTTAGATCAATAAGAGTAAGTCTGCTTTTTTATATTTACCTTTTTTTTTAAATTTTAGATTTCTATTTTTTTTTTAACTATTGTATTCTTGAGAATTTAAGAACACAATAGTTTTCAGAAATTTTCAATTTTAAAATAATTATAAATTAGGGTAGTTTAATACTTTTTATGTATTATATAATATATAGTTATATCCTATATTATATATAGTTATATATAATATTTTTTTCTTGTTTTTATCATTTTCATCCCTTTTTAAGATGGTATAGAGGAAAGTTTCTATGAATAGTGTTCATTTATGGAGGAAAAAAGATTTATATAATAAAAACTTGTTTTTGTTATTTGTTTGTTAATAAAAATGTTTAGAAGTATAACTTTTAAATAAATAGATACAATAAATAAATAAAAACTTTTTTTGAAGTAGTTTTAAAGTGTGGACTAAGGTGACTATAAATATGATTTTAAATTTATCTTTTTTTTTTTGAGATTTAAAAAACAGTCATTTAAGTATCAGATAATTATTTTCTTATTATTTATTTTATTTATTTTTTTATGCACATTGATTTATATTAAAAAAACAAATTGGAATAAAATGTTTTTGTTATCATTGTTTCTTTCTATTATTTCTCAGTATTTACATTTTTATACAATTAATACTTGATAAACAAAAAAACAGAAAGTTTATTTTTCTATTTTTTTTTATTTTTCTTACTTTTATTTAATCAATGGTATGTAAAACTAAACTAGGATATATTAGCAGTGGTGATTTTATATTTTGCAATATAAATTGTAT